GCTCAAACCACAAACACACAGGGGAGAAATGCAGGGAGCTCTTTCCCTGGTCCACAGGGCAGCCTGAAGTAGAAGGAATAAATAAACGCCTTTCAGTGTCAAAGATTTAAACAGTAGGTGTGATTCCCACCCCCCTGGTCTGCCACTGAGCCAGAGCCTGGACCCCGGTGAGGCCAGTGGGGCCTGCGGGGCTGGTGGGGAAGGCGGGGATATTGGGGATGGGGGCAACTGGGGTAGAGAGACCTAGGCCAGGGCTTGATGGGTGCAGCACTTTCCTCTATGTGACCTGATGGGGCACAGGCCACTGCAGCCCCCACGTTCTCCTGGAAAGCTCAGGACGCTTGATAAAGGGATTAAGGGATCAGAGACACCCAAGGCATCTGCAGAAGCCAAACAGCAGAGGAGCAGAAAGGGCTGCCACTTGCGCCCCGCCCACCAGAGGGAGGTAGGGGGTTGCTGGGCCTCTCCTCTGGCTAGGCCACTGCCTTTTGCATGCCTCTCAGGCCAGGGAGTACTGGTCTTTCCTGCCCGGGGGGGACGACACAGGGGCCTGGGGCAGAGGGATATGTTGACTCCAGCCATGTGCTCCCCCAGAGCCTGTTCAGGCCAACAGTTTGGGAGGTCCCAAGACTTGGCTGTAGTGCCATGGGTCCCTGCAACCTGAATGTGAGATGGTGAGGTCATCCCGGCACTTGGGGCCCCTCTCAGGTTCAGGACCACCTGATTCTCTGACTTCCCATTGAAGGCAATTCCAGGACATTAAGGCCTTGAGGTCTCCTCTGGGTGGCAGGCCTCTTCCTCCATTGTAAAAAATAAATGTCACGACCGTGTTGGTATAAAAATGAATATATTGATATTATATATTAACAAATAGTCTTCCACCTAAAAGTTCTTTTTTTTCTGTTTCAAAAGAAATTAAAGCATTTTTGTGGGCCTCTAGCAGTTCTGTGGGCCTCAGGCCCAGTGCTCGCTGACCTGACAAGTCAGCTGGCCTCAGAGGGCCCATCTCAGACGTCCTTAGTGGGAGGAAGGGGACTCTCTATCCAGCTTCAGAAGGAGGGGCACAAAAGGCCACCAGCAGTCCCCACAGGATGACCTTCTGAGGCCTTTCAGCTCCAAAGCTATAATTAGAACCTTGGCCCCACAGGCTGGAGAAGACTTGTGAAGCTCTCCCTCCCCCGCTGAGCGGGCATCAGATCCCTGGGGAGTTTTCCCTTGGAGACCATTTATCAGATGTCCTGGGGTGGCTGCCAGAGCCCAGGAAACGTTGGGGGGTGACGTTACTCTCCATAAAGGCTCAGGGACCCCTCCAGGCAGCTAGGAACTGCTACCACTCCCAAAACACACAGGCCCCCATCTCCTAGCTTGGTTTCCTGGCCAACCACCTGGGACTGTAGACTCAGGGCCACACCTTCCCCTGTCTGCCCTCTATACCTGGAACCCAGCCCCAGACAGCTAGTCCTGGCAAGGCTTTCCCCCGGGACCCCCCCAGCCTGTTGAGTTGCTGGGCCGTAATGCCCAAGCGCAGTATAGGGTAGCCCTAGGGTCCCTTTGGGGGTCCCAGGAGCCTGAGTGCCCAGCAGACTCATATCACAATGCTGGGTCCTGCGACGTGGCTTATGCAGCATAGGGGGCGACAGGGGGTGGGCAGAGACTGCCAAATCCCCAAGACCCAGTACCTCAAACCTTTGAGGAGTCACCAACCCCTCCCCCACCACACCCAGCAACCCTCCTTGGGCTGGGCTTCCTTCCCTCCTTTCAGACCCCCCAACTTTTTGACCCTAGGGTCAAAACCATATTCTTGTTGGCAAACTGAGCCCCATCACTTTTCAGAGAGCATTCAGGGCTCCAATCTCCCCAAATCCATGTCCATAAATCCATGATCTCCCCCTGGCAGCCCCAGGCCCACCATGACCCTGCCTGGGGCAGTCAGGAAGCCACTAGTCCTTGTGGGACCATCTGGAGGGACAGGAAACACAGAGGTTGGAGAGGACCGGGATGGAAGTGCCCAGGTGAGGAGAAGGGTTCTTGCAAAGGGTCCAGGGTTCCCAAACCCCCATGTAGGGCCAAGGGCACCCTGTGAACCAGAGTCCAACCTGCCTTTTGTCTCTCCTTCCCTTTCCCCCTTCCTCCCTCTTCCCTCCCCCTTTACTCTCCCCCCTCCCCTCCCCCCCACCGCCCTGGCTTCCTAGTTCTCTGCTAGAGTCCCATCTACAAGGACGTCTGAAACTTTATAGGGCATGATTCATCGGGTGGCGCGCCCCTCGGAGCCACGGCGAGTATGACATTAATCAGTGTCAGAACACTAAAACCGAGATATGAATATGAATTCTCCATATTGCAGGCGAGATAAATGTGCTGGGGGATATAATTGATCAGAGGGGGAGAGAAGAGGATGGGATAGTGGGAGCAGAGGTTTCAGAGACTCCTGCAGGTCAGCATTTGGGGTAGGCCTGAGCCCACTCCAGAAGTCCCAAGGCCAGGAATTAGGGGAGACAGATGTAGAATGACTTTGCCCTGATGATCCTGTCACCTAGGCACCAGCCTGGGCTGGAGCAGAAAGAGGGGGGTCTCCAGACAGGATTTCTTACCTTCCCCCACCAGAAAAGACAGAAACCCTCTGTCCTGAACACAGGGTGTCCTCTCTTGGTGTGGAGGATGGTGCACCAAGGTGCAAACGTTAATCCTGTGGGTATTGCTCACCTCGACTCCTTTTGGGGCTCAGGCTTCTCCTTGCAGGTCACAGAACTACTGCAAAGCCCCGAAAGTGTCCCTGAGCAGAGATGGAGTGGGACAGCACTTTTGCATGTACAGAAAGCTGCAGAAAAACTTCTACTTTAGCTTTAGGGGAAAGAGAGAGAGAGAGAGGGCTTCTATGTCTACTCCCAGATATTTTAGGACCTGAAGCACTGCGCACAGGTACCCCTAGGTAGGTATGAGGTTGGGAAAGATGTAAACAAATAGCAAAGAACAAAAAATGCTCTTTAATACTTAATTTAAAAATTACCTCGAGCTTTTATTTCAAGAAAAATAATTCTGAGGCTGGCAACCTGACTTCTTTGCACGGAAAGCAACTCCAGTCCACAGGACAGGGCACAGAACTCCACACTTCTAGGCCATTGGACTCTGAGGCCTGGAGCTGGTGAGCACCTACTGGCCCGGCCACCACCGAAGCAACAGAACTGAGGGATCCCAAATGTATTGGATTTTTAAGAAATGGATTTATAGGGCAAGCAGCAGATGCCTGCATGGACAATCCTCCCTGATTCTGGAAAATACGAGAGTGGAAGCCAGCCAGGGAAGAGGACCCTACGGCCCACCTAAATCCCCCTCGCTGATTCCAACCGTCACCCAGAAGGAGGAGTCTCCGGGTACACTGGATGCCAGAGTAGCGTGTGCTGGGGCCGAGAACCCGATTCCTCCTCAGATGCGCAGGGCACAGCTGGTCAGAGATCTCAATATGCTCACTGTCACCAAAACCTCTGAAATAGGAAGTCCAGGGCTGTGACCCCCGCAGCCCCAGCACGCAGGCCAAACGAGGAATTCCTCTCTAAATTCGAAAGCCCCACCAGAGACAATGAAAACGACCTGCGCGGACCCTGGCTTCCACTCCCTCCCTCCAAATGTCAGCAGCCTACCCAGCAGGCTGGGAACCTCACCCCCAACATTCAAACAAGTGAGCGACGCCCGAGAATACATCCAAAAAAGCCGCAAATCGAGGCTAGCGCCCACGACATCCCCAAGGCCCAGCACCCCCAGATTCTGCGCCACGCCCCAGGAGCGAGATCCGAGCGGCGTCAGGGCCACATTCCGTTTCCTGCCCATAGAGGGCGCCTCGAGCACGTCCGTTTGGACTGGGAGCGCCGGCTCCGCCGCCCAGTCGGCGGTCCACTCGGCTCAGCGCGCGGTTCCTCCCCGGCTCCGCCCGCCGCGCACCCCCACCTGCCAGGCCCCCAAGCTGGCCCTCGCGGCGTCCTACGCGCCTCCTCCCTGGGGCAGGGAGGGGACCCTTCTTCCAAAAGGACGTGGCGAGGCAGGGGATGGCTGGAAAAAGACGCAAGCACCAGAGTGGAGTGCAGACCCCACGCCTTTAGAGCGAGCCTCCCCCTTTCCTTAGCCGTGGGAGCTGCAAAGAGCCGAGCCTCTCGCCGCCACTCGCAGCCCCAGGCAGCGAGTCCTGCAGGGGCTCGAGGGCAAACAGAAGATCGGGGAGCGGGTGTGGAAGGGGGCCGCCTCTTCAGCGCCGGGCAGGTTGCCCCGCAGCCCACCCGGTTCACTGCCCGTTTTGGCGGCGTCTGCCTTCTTGCTTTTCGCAAACTCAACACAAAGTCGTCTGTGTCCTGCTCGAAGTGCTGCTGGCTGCTTCGGCGCGTCCCTCTATCTCCTAGCCCGCCGAGGCCCCTGAGCCCCCGGGACCCCTGCCCTCCCGCGTGCAGGCGAAGCCGGAGCCGGCCGGCACAGTCGCGTCTCACTCCCCACGGCCCGCAGGCGCGGCTGGGACCCTCGGGGCGATTTGCTCCAGGGTTCGATCACTCGGGGCGCCCAGTCGGAGGAGCAGCGGTTTAATGGGGGCGTCCCTGGGAGACTAAAGCTTCCTCCCCTCTTTGTACCAACTCCCCCTACGGAGCCCTCGGCGCCTAAGCCCAGGGAGCACCCCCGCCCTCCATCCGGACAGTTGTTAAAAGCCTCCCAATTTCTCCACGTTTGAGTTCAACAAATAACTAAAAAAAAAAAAGCATTCAAAGCAAAATTTCATACTTCATTACATCCCCATTCTTCCCGCGAACAGCCTGACGCCACGATGCACTGTTGAGACAACTAGATAGAAATCGATTTAAAATTCGAAGTTCTCCTTGGGGGACACGATTGGAAATTTTTTCCCCTCCTCATTGTTGCCCACTTTAAGAAATCGTTTTATAAACTGCCTAAAATCGAACTAATTTATGTCCTGAGAAACGCATATCCCAAATATACGTATAAAAGTTGCTAAGAATGAAAATGCCAACAAGAAACTGTCCTGGTGTCAACATCGCAAATTCGACCACCAGACGGCTGCGAAACAGCCACCTCCCGGCGGGAACGGCGACGGGCCTCTCCGCCCCGAGCCGCAGGCCCCGGCGGCCAGAATTCCAGGGCCCGGGACTGCGGCGGCCACACACAGCAGCGGGAGCGGTGGCACCATTTCATTTAGTTTATTAGACAAAAATATATGATTTAGACAAGTTCGCTGACGCGCTATTTACAATCTGAAATCACTCTATATACAGAAAGGAAAATAAAGAGAGACACAAGCACGTGAGGGCATTTACCGAGCCGATAATCGCCCAGAGCACCGTGACAGCCACGGTGGCCGGGCCGGCCTCCGGGGAGGCCAGCTGCCGGGACGCCAGCTCGGTCGGGACGAACCCCTTTCTGCAGAAAGCGATGGATGGGAGTCGTTGACGTTGTTGCCATGTTTGTCCTTTGTACCAGTCTGAAATATTTGTCTTAATTCCTGCTTCATCCCCTCCCCTCCCGAACTCCTCCCCCCTCCCCCCGCAAAAGTAAAATAAGACCCTGAATCAAGCAGACGGGAGGGCTGCTAGGATCCGCGGCGTTCCCTCCTGCGGGGCCAGCGAGCTGCAGGGAAAACACAGCAAGACAGGAAGGCAAAGGGACTGTCAAAAGATGGACGCTGGGACCGCACCCGGAGTCGCCGGTTCAGCCAGCCGAGCACGGAAGCGGGGAGGGGTTGCCCGCCCCGCCCGCTCCCGGCTGGGGAGAAACGGGGGTAGACCCGGCTGGCCCTGCACGCAGGGCTGGCGGGCAGCATCCCACCTCCAACCGGCCCTGCTCCCTCCCCTGCCCGGTGGTAAAAGCAAACAGCACTCACTTGTCGCGCACTGGCTGGAAGGGCGACTTTAACTGCTGTGGCGGCGAGTCTGGCCTGGGGACAATGTCTCTCTCTGTGAGGGAGAGGAAGAGGGAAAGTTAGACTGGGAGACCTGTAGGGGGTAGGATGGGGGCAGAGGCGCGCAGGCCTTCTCCTTCTCCCCACTCCCTCCTACCACTGAAGCAGGGTCTCCCGAGAGGAACACCCTTCCTCCGCCTGGCAGACAAGCTGCGGAGCAAGCTCTCTCGGGAGAGTCCGGGGGCCTCAGTTTGGCTCCCCTAATCCAGTCAAAGGTTACAGCTGGCGGGGGGGCTCCTTGGCTAGTGCCTCTCACTCCCGGGCCGGTGTCCCCCAGACCCCATACTCCGCCCAGGCTCTGGATTCCTGGCCCAGGACAGTAAGGACGCTCCTGGTGCCATACCTGGGAGCGTGGGGCTGCTGCGGGCCGAGGCCTTGTCGCCGTGGACCATCCCGGGGGCAACGGCCACGGGTGGCTGCGGTGGAGGCGGCGGCGCGGGCAGGTGTGGGCCGTGGGGCGCGGCGTGGGGCGTGCCAACGCCCAGAAAGGAGCGCATGTTGAGCAGTGAGCCCTGTGCCAGGAAAGCGCCGTTGGTCCAGTTGGAGAACTTGCCGATGTGGCAGGTGTACAGTCCGTGGCTGGGCAGGAAAGCGGGGTGTTGCAGCGGCGCGCCCGCAGGGGGCCCATGCGCGCCAGGATGGCTGGCAGGCGGCGGCGAGGCCTTGGGCGCGCCGTCCGGGCTGGTGGCCGTCTCGGCCAGTGACCAGATCTTGGGCTTGCTGTGCGGCGCTCCCTGCAGGCCACCCGCTGCCGCGCCCGGACTCAGCAGGCGCGTGCCGCCGGGTTCTTGGGCCTCTTTAACCAAGCCTAGAGGAGAGTCTTGGGTTTTGAGAGCGTCAGCGGCCGCCAGTGGCGATCCTTGATCCCGGGCGAGGGCTGTGGGCACTGCGGGCGCTCGCGGCGCCTCAGCCTTGTCCTCGTCGTCCTCGTTGCTCTGGTCGCCGTCGTGCTCGTCGATCTTGTCGATGTCGATGCTTTCCAGATCGATCTCCTCGTCGTCCTCGGCCTTTTCCGGATCACCCTCCGTGTCACTTCCGAAGAGGGCGCCGTCCTCCTGGTCCTTGCTGCGTGCGCCCCACGTCACCTTGTTCTCCTTCTTGAGGCGCCGGCGCGCGTTGGCGAACCAGGTGGAGACCTGCGTGAGGGTCATCTTGGTGATGATGGCCAGCATGATCTTCTCCCCCTTGGTGGGGTAGGGGTTCTTGCGGTGCTCGTTCAGCCAGGCCTTGAGCGTGCTGGTGCTCTCGCGCGTGGCGTTCTTGGGCCGCCCGGGATCCCCGTACTGGAACTGGCCGTAGGGATAGTAGGCCGGGGCTGTGTGAGCAGCGAAGGTGGCGGGGTGCACCCCGGGGTTGTCCTTGAGTTCATACTGCGAGCCCTGCGGCCACAGGGCCCACGAAAGAGGAGATGGCAGGGGTGGAGAGAGAGAAAGAAAGAGAAAGATGAGTTCCCAGAACTCGAGGGAAAGTCAGGGGCAGCTGCTCCTGTCTGCTGGAAAGCAAAAGGCCCCAATTCACCGACCGAGGTCGAAGTGGGGAGAGGGGTTAGACAAAGAGCTGCCCCCAGGAACTGCACTTCCACCGATCTTGGCTTTTCTGTCACTCAAGAAACATTCTAGAATCCTTGCCTCGGTGGAAGGCCACAGCGGGAGCCGGGGCTGCTTCGATATCCCCAGGCCACTCTCTTGTCCCCCCCACCCCACCCCCACAACCACTCCAGAAGCCTGATATCTAAGTTTACCTCACACTAGCTGCAGGGGAAAACCTTTTAACTAGGCGAATAAAACAGCCTCTCCAAAAGGGAAGAACCCAGAACCCTTGCCCCCACCCTCAGACCCTGAGGGGGTCAAACAAAATAAGCCGGATTTTCTCCAGGCCCAAAACAGCCAGCAATTTAAAATGAAAGCACAGCTCCTCTTAGTTTCCAGATTAATCTGCATACAATGTCTCACCCACACTTAAAGGTATAGAGGGGTGACAGGTAATTTAAAATTTTAATCCTGGTCATCAGGGACAACAATAACAAAACCAACATTTGTTTTTTTAAAAAACACAAAAGGAGGGTTTATCCGGTAAAATATTAACGCCAGGGCCGAAGTGACTGAGAAGAGGTGCAGAACCGGTTTCCTGGGCTCTACTCCTACTTAGTCTCCGAAGTTTGTCTTTGATCTGCAGGAAGCAGCACAAACTGTGCGCAGGCTTTTAGGGGCTCTGATTTATTTGCAATCAATATTCTTTTTATCATCGGTAGTAAAACACAGCGAGTCAAATTATCCCATCAGGTTTTTTGGTAAATAACATTTTATCTTTCTAACAACCTCATTAGGCCTCATTATTACCATAAATTGCCCAGACAGATACTCACTTCACAATTTTATCTTTTGACTTCCAAACCCTCAGTCCTAACAACTTGGGAATCTGGGCCTAGCGTCGGAGTTTGGGATTAGACTTCCTTTCCGAGAACCCTTAGGAGACCACAGGAAACATATCCACACCTGCGTGTGTTGGGGGGGCGGATTTCTCTACAGCAGACCCTTATTAAAAAACCAAGCCTCTGCCTTCCCCCATGGCACTGCATTTGGAGCAGGTTCTCACCATAGAGCCCCCTTCCTTCCCCCAAAACACGAGGGGGTGTCAAATGGCACCCATCTGCATTAAAAATTCTGTAAAAAACCGTAATTGTTCACGTAGAATCATCCAGTTTCTACTGGCAGAAGAGGGTTCTGGACTATGAGAAAGTTGCGAAAAACAGAATATTTCTTTGAGTAAGTAGTTTGGTGGTCCACACCACAGAGAAAAGATGTCCTTGGCCAGATTTCGTTTTTGCCTAATCTTTACAAAATGTACTTTTAACTTTTTCTAATGATTTGGCTTGTGACTGAAAAGAAGACGCTGAGCCCTCCTCTCCGCGGGGAATTCTTTTTGAAAGGATACCTTGTAAATCTCTCACCGCTCGCTTGGCATCCCAGCCGCCAGAACAAAATGGGAGCCGATGATCTTTTCCGACAGCAAGCGACCTGAGAGGCAGCTGGGCTGCTGGCAAAGAAACGGGCTTTCTTTCCACACAAGAAAAAGTTACAGGAAAACCCACCGGCCGCTCTGCACGCCGAAGGTTGGCGGGTATTTATTTTCTGTCTCTTCTTTGAGAAGTGGGGAGAGGCTGGGGGAACCTGAAAACCGCGTTATCCCGCCGGCAGCAGCGCCAAGAGGAGAGGCTGCTTCGCGGGTCCCCGCGCCCTGCACCAGATCGTCAGCAGCCCAAGTTTCAGCCCAGACTTGCGCCAGATCAAGGAAAATATATCGTTCTGCATCGACAGCTTGGCCCGTGCCCGGAAGAGCCCCCACCCCACATCTGACACCCACTGGGACTTAAGACTTGAGAGGACACCATTTATTTCCAGCCCAGGGACACTGTTTTCTTTAATCCTCCATTATGTAACCAGGGAAGAAAAGTGCTTTCTTTCCGTGCAAATGAAATGAAAACTTTGGCAACTTACGAAAGTCAAAGCAAACAGCATTTTAGACGCCAAAAAATATTTCAACTTAATTTTCCCCGGCATCTCAATTTGACACACACACACACACTGTTAAGAGACCCCTACGGCCAGTCCGTTCGCCTTTGTTACCTTGATTTTGACAGCATGAACCAGGCTTTAAAGTCGGATATGACTGTGTGAGCTGTGCCAAAGATGGATAAACCTCGTCTCCCCCGCCCAGCCCACAGCCGCGGAGGTCGTGAGAGAGGGCCGGAGGGGACTCCCGGAAAATCGGGCCCAGATACCGGAGCCCCGCCTTCTCCAACCGGCCAGGGCACCGGACGAGCTGGGCCCTGGCCTCCAGCGTGGGCCGCGCGCCCCTGGCCTGCTCCTGCGGCCTCGTGACTCCCGCCGAGACCCCCCTTCTCAGCCGGGCCTCCTGCCTGCCCGGCGGAGATGGCGAGGCCGTTGCCCGCTGGCCCCTGCGAGCTTCCCAGACCCCCGCCGCCACGGACCCCTGCGCAGGGAAGCTCGCGCTCTCTGTCCCGGCCCGCTCTGCCCGCCCTCCGCTCTCCCTCCCGCGCGCCGAGCCGCCCGACACCCCGTGCCCGGAGCGCCGGGGCCGCAGGGGAGAGGCCAACCCCGCAAGAAAGGCGCGCAGCGGCGAGGCGCACTCACCATCTGGGAGAAGAGGCTGAGATCCGCGGCGTAGGGCAGGAAGGCGCTGTAGTTGGGCGCGCCCGCGTAAGGTCCGGCCGCCGCGTACATGCCCAACACCGAGGTGACCGCTGCCGCGCCCGCGCCCGCGCCCAGCTCCGCGGCCCCTGGCCGGCCCGAGGAGGCAGCGGCGGCAGCCGCAGCTGCGGCAGCCAACACCCCCGGGCGCTCTCCGCCGTAGGCGCCGGGCCCCGCGGCGCTCAGGTACTGCGGGTAGCCCAGCTGCGGGAAGGACATGTCCGCGGACTCGGCGGCAACGGCGGCGGGCAAGTGTTAAAGTGGCCAGGGAGGGAGGCGGGGGGCTGGGGGAAGGCGCGGCGGTGGAGAGCGGGCGGCGGGCCGGGCGCGCTCGGGCCGGCCCGGAGGCGGGGGCCCAGGGCTGCTCCTCGGCCCGTTGCTCGCTGGCGCCCGGCTCCCGGCTGCGCCCGGATCCGCGATCCCGAGCCGACTGTGCCGGCCGCCCTCCGCTCGGCGGCGGGGCTTTCAGACACAATTTGAAGTTGATGCTTTGATTGGCATCCCCTTGAGCGCTGGCCCCGCCCCCGGCTCCGCTCTCGTCCTCCTCCCAGACTCCAGCCCGCCCTCTCCGGCCTCTCCCGCCCCTCCCGGCGAGCACGTGGTGCCCCGCGCCGGCCGGGCCACCTCTGCCCGGGTTGCGCTCAGGAGCCTTGGGGCAGCTGGTGCGGGCCCGGCGGCCCCTGGCTTTTTCCCGACCGGCCCCCGCGGCTGTCTGACAACCTGTCGACACCGTTTTACAGCTGTCGGACACCGGGGTTTGCTGTTTTGCAGCCGAGGTGTGTCTACTGTTCCACGAAAACATATCGGCTCCTGCTTTTCCACCTTTGGAGCCGTCCGGGGCGCGGTAACAGGTCGGTGCTGCCTTTGCTTCCCTGGCTGTCTTTGGCACAAGTGCACCCAGGTGCCCTCCGTGCGCCACTAAAACCTGCGTGCGGTCGTGGCTTCCAAGGGGCCTCTACTTTGAATTAAGTCATCTGGCAATGACCGGCCTTGCTGCACTTGGAGAAGCGGGAAGTGGCCGAGTCCTGCAGGTTTTCCCTATTGTGGAAACTTTGAGAAAGGGAACCCTAGCTGAGAAGCCACTTGCTGGGGGAAGCAGATGCCGTCTGTGATAAAGGGTTTTGGAGGGGAGAGACCTTTTCTTCACAGAAAGCATGGAAGCAGCGGGAGGGAAATACTCCGATGCCCAGCCGGGCGATGGGAGAAGCCAGCATGTCCTGGGCACCTCTCGTTTGTCCCCTAGATACGCAGAGGCAGGAGATAAATGAGTGGAGCTCCGCGGCCTGAGGCGGCTCCAAGACCAGGACGGGGACAGGACGTCTCTCTTCTCTCTCCAGCCTCCGCCCCGCAGAAGGAGTGAGCCGCCGACGGTTCGGATATGGCATGGCGGGTTGGCTCCCGCTCGCAGGGGGTCTAGCCACTCTCGGGTCCTCCTCGTCTCCCTATGCCCGGACAGGTTGGCTAGGCAGCCCCCGAGCTTTGCTCTCTAGCTGGGTCCCTGTGGACCGGGTGGGGTGTGTGCCCGGGACTTTCGGGGCCACTTTGCAGCGCACCTCCCACGCGGCAGCCAGAGCACTGAGCGGACTGGACTCCCTGCTGTGGCGGGCAGGTGCTCTGGACTCTGTAGGAAATTCATCCACAGACTCCGATGCCGTACTCGGTTTGGGCCGGTTCCAAACCGCTGGATTGAGGCTGATTACTGAATCCTGTACCTAGCATGCTCTGCTGCTGGTGACCTGGGCCACCTATACCTGGACATAACTACCAGAATCACGGAAGCCCAGGGACTTCCGCAGCATCAGGAAGGGTCCTGTTTTCCCATTTGGGGGTCTGAGGGCAGACACAACCACCGACCATAAGAGTAAGGCATAAGACGTAAGAGTCATCAACATCTCTATAATGAGTTTGTTGTAACCTCTCTGCTCATAGTCAGGTTTTCTTCCTGTTCCTGGTGCTGTCCCTCCTTCCGCCCCCCTGCCCCCTCCCCCAGCCCCAGATCTCTCTAGAAACCTCCTAAAACCGTCTGGGCTCCCTTCCTGCCCTGGCAGAATCTGGGGGCAGAGGTAGGTACTTGGCACTCTTGCTCTGGGAAGTCCCTAACCACAGCTTCCTCCTGCTCCCCAGCCCACCCTCCAAGCACCCCAACTCCTTCTCTCTTACATCCAAAACAAATAAAGCTTTGGCTTCACCTCTGTCCCATTTAGCAACTTCAGTGTCACATTTCAGAGCAACAGGTAAACACAGGTGAGATGAGCCCTCTTATGTGACCCAGGGAGTGAGGCATAATGTAAGCCAGTGTCAGGGTCCAGCCACAAGGATTGACCATCTCCTTCCCACCCTGCCAGCAAACGCCCACCTGGACGTGGTCATACTGCAGCTACCAGAACCTGGTGGAGAGAAAAGTGATGGGGCAGCAGGCTTCGTCCTGACCCTCACCAACCCAGCCAGCCAGCCACCCCACCATGCCCTGCAAGTATCACCTCCATTCATGTAGGTTCCCGGAGGCATCTGGGAGGTCAGTGGGGAAAAACCCCTGGAAACCAGCCTGAGGATTAGCAAATTGTGGAGGAAATTAGAACTAGAAAGGTCTAGACTAACCCCAAAGGAGTCATGGAAAGGTGCCAGAGCCACCAATGTGGACATTCTCTGCCCAGGGCTAGAATCCTAGCAGACTCTGGGCAACTTACGTCACCTCTTTCCTTCTTTCTCCTTGTCCCTTTACCAGAAAACTTGCACATTAGAGACCCAGGAAGCATTAAGAAAACTGCCTTCAAAGTACCCTATTGGAGAGGGGGAGGGGCAAAGAAGGCTTGAGAACTCCGTGGCTAAACTTTGCCAAGGAGACTGTCCTTCTGCAAGCCCTCTACTCATTTTTAACCACCAAATGGTTAAGCACGGCAGAGAAAGGCCCAGGGTGCCTGAGCCAAGAGAGAAGCTCTTACCAGGTACCTTGGACCTGACTTGAATATCCTCTTCATGCAGGTCCAGCTCACCAGCTCAGCCCTCCAGAGTCCCGGCCCAGCCTTCTGCTGGCGGGAGAGGAGCGGGGCAACGAGGAGGGAGTATCCGGGTCCTGCGCGCCGGACGGACAGTAGGGCTGCAGCGTCCAGCCTTCGAAAACCGATGGCCTCCAGCACTGTGGCTCTGGATAAACACACCGGAAGAGACCCGCTTCCAAGACTGCCAGCCTCCGTCCCCGCCGGCACGGGAATGGCTGGGGCAGGCCCAGCCGCGCGAGTCTGGAGGGTGTTCCTAGCGGGAGCGGTTCCCTTCCCAGTCGCCACCCCGTCATCACTGAGACAGTGGCGGGGCCGCCCCGCGGTGCAAAGCCAGACCTAGGGGTCGCTGCGCGGCCTGATCGGAGCTTCGCCGGGCGTCCGGGCTCGGGTCTGGGAACCCCGGTCTTCCGTAAGGACCTCCATTCAGGGACCAGTGGCCGTAGGACCCCGTCGCCGGCGGCGCGGCCCCGCAGTTGACCGGGCACTTCTAGCAGGAAAGCCCTGACTCCGCGCGCTCCGGCTAGGACGTGGGCCTCTGGGGGCACCCGTGGGCGTGTGGGGTCCACCCAGAGTGCGGCCTCGGCTACGAGGGAGGGAGCGGCCGTGTTGGGAAGGAGAGAAAGCTCTGAGGCCGCGGCGAGTGCAGGCGGGGCGGGGCAGGGTTGGCGAACATTTCGAGTTTGAGCCACGTTGATTGTTACGTTGGTTTTCAAGCCTGGTGGACAGTTTACTTGTTATCACCATGGGGGGGGGGACAGTCTTCTCAATAAGAGGGAATTGCTACCCCAGTTCTGGAAAAGATCGCGTCCTTTTTTGTCCCCAGCCCCTCAGTTCAGTCAGTCGTCGATCCCCTCCCACCACCACCACCTATTTACATAAGAATGAAATTAAACCAAATAGCATCCTCATTTACGACTGCACTTACTATAAAATAATTTGTCACTGTTTTGAAGCTCCAGTGAAATAGGTCTGAAGAAGAGGAGAAGGCGCACCCAGGGACGGACCACTCCCTGGAGCCAACCCCAGACCTGCCTTCAACACCAAGGTTGGGGCAACCAGACCGGTCCGGTGGACACAAAGGACGGCGCTGTGGCCTCCTCACCTGCCTTTCAAAACGGCCATTCTTGGCTCTGCTGATGGGGGGTGGGGGGTGGCGGGCGGTGCTGGACACCCTGACCAAAACAAACCAGGCCCTCTGCCCGAACGAGCGCCCTGATTATAAGTCTCGTTAAATACTCATTAGGACTTTGCACCCTTTCCCAGCAGGACCAGGAAACCACCCAGCTGGGCAACAAGGAGGCGCGTTCCAGACAGTCCCTGGCAGCGGCGACCGCCTCGGGAGAGCTCAGCTGTAACCCGGTGCCCAAGGGCTCCAGGCAGGGGTGGGGTCGGACGAGCTATGACGATCTGGTGCCCGGCCACCGATCTCCTGTCACGCTGAGCCCGGGCCCACGTCCGGGGTGGGGTCCTGGAAAGGATATCAAAGACGCCTCTGGTGCCTTCTGACGGAGAGTACAGCCCAGTGGGAGCCTCGAACGTGCTGAATTACCAGGCCCCCAATGAGAGAAGGAGCGCCTGGGGGAAGGGCTAGAGCCAAGTGGGGCCTGAGAGAGGAGCTGCCTAGAGACTTCAGGAAAACACTGGAAGGAAAAGGCCCAGCAGCAAGAGACACGGATGGTCAGAATCTCAGAGCAGTGCTTGGACAGAGTGGGGGTTTGGCTCCCCGCAAGGCCGCGGGCGGGCGAAGTGCGCCTGGGAACCTGGAGCCTTCGGACCCAGGGAGCGTTCGCACCATCTCAGGGGAGAGAAATAGACCTCAGGGGACCCTGCAGGTCCAGTGTCGGAGGAAGTGAATTCTGTGCGTGTGCACACGTAAATATTTTTAAAACTTCCCCACAATTAACCAGGTCATTTCCATTATGCCTCCAATATGATCAGCAGCAACAGTGTGAGGGTTTTCGGTGTTTATAATTTGATGTCACCAGACTGTTGCTTGGGAGCAGAGGTACTATCGCCCACCGGCTGCACTCATGTTTATTTGTTTTATTTGTGTTCCTGTAGGGTTCCATTATTCAGTGTTTAATTAGTTTGTGTTTGCACTTCGCCCGTCCCAAATCAATGCCGACCCGGAGCGAGGAGTTGCAAGTGTCCGAGGTGCAGGTGTACTGCCTGTGTGTGACAAATGAAAGCCTGGCCGCGGCACAGCCCAGCCGACTGTCTGCTCTCTGCAGCCAGGAGGGGAAGATCAAAGCCAACCTGGACTTCTGCAGCCCCCACCCCCTTCCATGAGCAAAGTCGGGGCTGTGGCTCTGGGTGTCTTTGGAGGCAGCCGCTGGACCACCCGCAGGAGGGACAAATGACTTCATTTTATTCAAGTCCTGTGGCCTTTGGGCCAGCGCTGGCCTCCAGCACTTTGGGCTTGGGGCCTAGTGGGCTCCTGACAAAACCGTGCAGGGT